ATTCGAATCAACTCTAAAAGTAAATACACTTAAACTCGAGGCTACAATAATCAGGAGTCGTTCAAAGCAAATTCAAAGGTCCGGTTTGGCAACGAACACGAGACTGGAGTTCGGTCTTCGTCTCGGGGCAGCAGCCAAGAGGCACCACGTGCGCGACGGCAACTTACAATACGTTTTCGATGGCAACCATGTCTTTCTCGCGCACTGTCTGTTCAACATACCGAAGACGCCTCTCCTGACGACGTACAACTTCCTTCAGTTTACCCACTTCCGCTGCCAGCTCTTCAACCATTGCCTGCAAAGCAAACATTACATTAAAGTCGGAAGAAATCAAAGCAACAACGAAGCCACGCTCTTATACAAAACTTAAAAAAAAGAATTTTCTTGAATGGGTAATAAAATGTACTGATGCAAATATCAGAAAATTTGAAGCAAATGAAAACTTCTGTTCACATATCTCAACTTTCTCAGTTCTGAACAATTTCTACAGGGTTAAAAAGCTTGATAATTTTATTCTCAACAAATATTGTACTCTATCCTTATTGAAAGAGCTCATTTAACTCTGAAAAGTTGAAAATGCTCTGAAGCAAATCTTGGCCTGGTGAAACAGCACCTTTTCACGCCATTTTTTCCATGACTACATGCAAATTTCGTTATCATATGCGCAGTCCCGGAGTAGAACTGCATCGAAAATGCCGAAGGTTGACAATATTATTGACAACAGCTGTAGCGCATAAAATATTCCGTACATGCTTTTTTTTATTTACACACATTTCTCACAGGAAGAAGTTCAACAACTAGTTCTATCACAGCTGTGAACATAGTCTGTTACTGAAATATCGGACTAATTATAAATTCAAAAAATTCAACCGCGTGACACGGTGATTTCAACAACACTGTTTTTACCTGCAGGTTACCGCTCGACTTTGCAGATCCGGAGCCAGTGTTCGCATGCGTCGCGGCAATCGACGTCTGTTCCCCAGCCATGCCGTAGTCTCTGCTCTTCCTGATTCCGGAGTCCGCAGAGTAGCCGGTGGACGAAGGAGACATTTCGTGTGATCTGCTGCTTGCATAGCGGAGGCTTTGGACGTCGCCGCTATCACCACTCGACACACTGCCCATATTGACACTTCTGCGAAAAACAGGCGCTGCAGCCTCGTTCCTGCTGAAACGATCCTCCTGGTGTTGCTCTCTGAAACTTGGCTCCAACGTGCTGCTGGAGTGGCGGAAAGGCACAATCCCAATGCCGGCATCGACAATACCGTCTTGAGGGTTCTCAGCGCTGCGTGACGTGTCCGAATATTTCCGCAGCACATCAATACCAGCTCTTTTGTATTCCGCGTTGTGAGAACCGCGGTCAGACAAACTTATTTCCGGAATTGTCTCGTTCTGCTCAAGAATTTTTGGGTGATGATCAGGTTCATGGGCTCCGCTTGACTGGGTCAATCTGCTTGTTCGCCTAGCCGATTTTTTCTGCTGCTTGCTTCGTTCAGTTTCAGTGTCTTTACGCAGCGGCATCTAACAACAAACAAAAGGTAATAAGCGAAATGTATTCACAGCTGATACACTCAGTAAACAGAGTTCACAAGCATAAGTACAAATGATAATCTACATAACGAAAAATTTCAACATAAAAAATGAGGCTCGTTTCATCAGTTAAAATAAGCAGTTCTGAAACAGTCATCCGTATTTTTGCACTTCAAGCACAATTTCAAAAAGTGTCTACTTCTGAAGTACAGCAAACAGGTAGGATAAGGTGTAGCATATAAGATTAGGTTCTTGTAAAAGTCATGCAACTGCTAAAGTAGCCGCAAACTTGGGTCTCGAACTTTGGAATAGTATACTCTCGAGAAAGGCATTCAGACTGGCAAAGTTCTCTATGTAAGTGATGCAGATCCTTTAAGAAAAGATGTACTGGAAGTGATGTTTTCTGATGTAATCGTTAGCAACATGAAGAAATACATACATCCTTTAACATTTACTTAACACACCAACGTTTCGTTCGATCGCTCACTGATGGTCACCAGCGCACAGTAATAATTATACGATGGCATAAGTAGATAAAACCAATAGACAATTAGATTCGAGGCAGCAAACACAGAATTTCTGCTGGCATAAATATATAGGTATTCAAGATTAGATGTATTTCATCGTCATGGTATTCAGAGAAGCTAACTTGGCTACCATGAAAGTTATACTGTTAGTTAGAGTGGGGCTGCTCACTCGGTAGCGTCGAACTCAGAACCGAGAAATCTCAGATTTGAGCCGTCATTGGTCACTCGCTATTCATTCCTCCAAAGTTGGTAAATTAAAACCACTGTGTGAAAAGGAAAGAGGTGATTATGCACCATGCTTGCGACACTGTTACTGTTGATTTTGCCTTCAAAACATAAGACTCTCCTAGTTAAAAGGGATCAGCACTTACCATTAACTTCACGAAAAGAAAGGCGCCAGAAATGGACCCATCATAAAATTGCAACGATAAACATTCGAACGGTTACAAACATTTCTTCCTCATAGTAAACCAGAGTACCCAATCAATAACTGACATATGGCATTAAAAAATGAAACGAAATCAAACCCCTTCAAACTACTAGGACGGTCAAGAACCGAAAATCTAGCCAAATGCATTGTCAACATCGGCATTCATCTGGCCCCATTTGACTCCTCCAATATAACATCTGTGGTTTGTAAAGACAAACTAAATGTTTAGTAGATTAGATTTCCTCTCCATACTTTTACATCTTCCGTCTGGACAGCTATAAAAGAGCACTGCTTCCAGAAATAGCTACAAAATAGTATAAAAACTTCAAGGGAAACGGAGAAGAGATTTGTCACTGGTTTCACGATAGGATAACTTTCAGTCTGCATGTTTAGTGGAGTACATTCCTCCCAGTACTCTGCCCTTTAAACGAGCTACAAAATAATCTAGGCAATAACCACAGCACCTACCAAAATAGGATCTGCATCTTTGCCGTTGAACCATTCGTCAGCCGTTATTGCAGGCACAGGGCCAGCGGTGTCCGGATAAAGATCTTCCTGAAATTCGTCTGATTTTCTTGGCACGAAAAACTGCAAAACTTCCACTAGTCCACGATTAGTGCATTTATATATCCTAGTAGCACAACAGGAAATACTAAAAAGCCGAACGGCATCGCAAACACTTTATTCATACCGAGCAATTTCGTTTTCGTATATGTTCATTCCTCGCTTTGGCATGAAACCGATGCCGCGCTGCGGTTCCGGACTTGAGTACGTATTAATATAATGAACAAAAGGTGCTTCGTTGTTTACTTCATAGTATCGAATCACGCTGTCACCCTACAAAAATAAAAAACAATTTTTTGTGTTTCTAGTGATCAAGAGGATATTTCTGTAAGAATGTTATTATTCATTTTTTAATGAAAACGGGTTCCACGTACGGCTAATTAGACGACGCGACTTTTGTGTATCTGCGATGGCAAAAACGAACTCACCACATATCAAGACAGACTCCAAAGATGAACTGCGCAATTCTACCAGCTGCTCAACAACCAACCTTCAGATCTTCCATTCGATCGTTACTACCTGGCCAATGGTACACAATAACGCAGATCTCCCATAAAAAATTTAAAACAGCTGGAGAAATCTCAAGCTAAAGACGGCCGGCGGTGCGGATTAAATCCTCCCGGAGGTAATCATCCATGGATACCGGGAACGAGAGAAAAGTTCATGCCAACATTTACCAAATAAAGACCT